GTGTCTCAGTGAATCTCTGTTTCCTTCTGTTGGAAAGTATTGCGTTCTTCTAATTGACTGATATTCTTGGATTTGATGTAAGTCTGATACTGAACTGTTTTTGGCACTGGACTTTGTTATTGGACTATATCTGGACTAAAAACTGACTGATCTTACCTGTGAATGACTTTGGATTGCTTGTTTGGACTTTGCTTAAACCGTTTCTGGAAGTAAAACCCTACATTTACTGTACAGTGTATTTGTGTGCTGTGTGTGTATTATTCAAACACTACTCTCAATATGTCTCCCTGTATGCGCTCATTCTCCCAACGGGGAATTACCTCAACAGTTGGTTTTTAATACTGGTACTCCTCAACAGTTTACTTAGTGACCGTTTGAAGTTACAAGGGCAGTGAAAAAAGTGACATATGAACATTTTTCACACTTATGACCATTGCAGCATCCCCATGGTCACATGATTTACATTTGGATGCTTGACAGCTGGTTCATATTTATGATGTTTGCAGGGTCCCAGGGCCATGTGTTCTCCTTTAGCAACCTTCTGATAAACAAAGTCAACGGGGAAGCCAGATTCACTTAACACTAATTTAACAGCTGCAGTGATTCACTTAACAAATGTGGCAAGGAAATCCTAAAATGGGGCAAAATTTATTTAACAAATTTCTCAGTGACATAAATTTTGGGCTTGGTTGTGGTCATAAGTCAAGGACTACCTGTATTATCTTATGAAAGAATACAGAACTTCCCATATTTCTCCAGGTCCAAGAAATGGAATGCCTGTAGATTCATATTAGATCCCCACATCACCCCCTTCCTGCTCCCAATTTGGGGCTAGGTTTACATTCTTTTTTCTTTTCCTTTTTAAAAAAAAGATATTTTTGCCCTAACAGTAGCATAAAATTTCTTTCTTGGTCTTGCTGAGATGTGTCTGTCTTCATAATCACCTTGTTGCTATCTCATGTTCATCTGAATTTTTGCGCTACTGTAGGATAGCTTTATCCAAATCCAATCAAGTAGCTATTAAACTGTTTTTAATTTTCCCCTTCATTTTAAATTCAGGTACAGCCCTGCTATTCAACAGTAGATGGCACTGGCAGTTTTTAAAATAGGACAGTAATGAAGAAGAAAAAAGACAATTAAGCTTATGAGTAAAATTAAATAACTATCCTGTAATACACTGCAAAATCATATGGACTACACAACTCTATCAGGGCAAAGCAATAGACGCAATCTACATAGACTTCTGTAAAGCCTTTGATTCAGTGGTACATGACAAACTACTCCTAAAACTAAAATCTTATGGTATCTCTGGACACCTGCATAACTGGATAGAAGCATTCCTGTCAAACAGACAACAAATGGTCAAAATTGGGAGCGTCTTATCAAATTCTGTACCTGTCAACAGTGGTGTCACCCAAGGCAGTGTACTAGGACCAACTCTTTTCATACTCTACATAAATGACCTCTGTGATCATATTAAGAGCAACTGCGTTCTCTTTGCTGATGATGTAAAGCTATTCAACACCTCAGAAAATACTGCTACCCTTACAAAAGACCTTGACTATGTATCAGAATGTTCAAACAAATGGCAATTTCAACAAATAAATGCTCTGTCCTACATATTGGCAAAAAAAATCAGAAAATAAACAAATCAGAAAATAAAAGCTGAATAGTCAAGACCTTGTTGATGATCCAAGCTCTGTCAAGGACCTTGGAATACTCATCTCTAATGACCTAAGTGCTAGAGCCCACTGTAACTACACAGCCAAAAAGGCATTAAGAGTTGTTAACCTAATCTTACGTAGCTTTTTCTCTGGCAATATCACGCTACTAACTAGGGACTACAAAACATTTGCCAGACCAATACTCGAATACAGCTCATCAGTCTGGAACCCACATTACATATCTGATATTAACACAGTTGCAAAAGTCCAGAAATATTTCACAAGAACAGTTTTACACTGCTCTACTCATTGCAGAATACCTTATGCCACCAGACTTAAAACTCTTGACCTAGAAAACCTAGAACTATGCCGTCTTCGGTCCGATCAAATATTGTATATAAAATCATGCATTGCAATGTATGTACCGGTCAACAAATACTTCAGCTTCAACCATAACAATACAAGGGCAAACAATAGATACAAACTCATGGTTAACCGCACCAAACTTGATTGCAGGAAATACGACTTCAGCAACAGAGTGATCAATGTCTGGAATACTCTACCTGACTCTGTGGTTTCTTCCCGAAACCCCAAAAACGTTAACCTTAGACTTTCTACTATTGACCTCACCCCTTTCCTAAGAGGCCTGTAGGGGTCGTGCATAAGCACACCAAAGTGCCTACTGTCCCTGTCCTATTGTTTCTTTTATTTTTCTTATATGTGCTCATTTCTTGTATTCATAACTATATTTATCCTTATACCTATTATCTTGTAAGCAATTGACAAATCAAATAAATAAAATAAATAAATGTCTTAACTCATCCTGGCATTAAAGTATGCCACACCCAAAGGATGTGTTCTTTACTTACTGTCATGCAAATGAATGAAGCTAGATCAGGGCTCTGCACTTATTCCAGGGAAGAAAGGGAATTGAGTCGAATTGAAATTTATATAATTATTGTGCCATGTGTGGCCTTTTCTGGATCAGAAGTCCCTGCGCTCAGTCATTCAGGTAATCTCTTGTCTGAACTACTGCAATGCGCTCTATATAGGGTTACTCTTGGTCCTTGTAACACTACATAAGCTGCATTGGCTACCAATCTGCTTCCGGGTGCAATTCAGTGTATTGTTAATCATTTTTAAAGTCCTTCATGGCATGGGTCCAAGCTAGTTGATGGATGACCTCATCCCACTGGGATTGGCCTGTCCCACCCGAGCCAGCATGTTGCAGGCCTCATTGGCCCGATTTTTCTGGTTGGCGGGGTCCAAGAGAAGGGCCTTCTCTGCCATTGCACCTGTCCTCAGGAACATCTTTCCTTCCGATGTGAGGCCTAACCAGAGGTGGTAGTCAGCCAGTTCTGACAGGTTCTAGAGAACCGGTAGAGGAAATTTTGAGTAGTTCAGAGAACCAGTAAATACCACCTCTGACTGGCCCCCATCTATTCACTGCCTCCCAAGTCCCAACTGATCGGAGTCCCAGTTGATTGGCTGGGTCTTCTTTTGTTGTCCTGCAGAGGATTCTCACAGGAGCTGGAAAGCAGGTTAGTCGGGTAGGGAGGGAATAGGGATTTTACAGAATCCTTCCCCTGGAGTGGGGTAGAAATGGGGATTTTGCAGTATATCCTTCCCCTGCTACACCCAGCAAGCCACATCACTCCCACCAAGCCACGCCCACAGAACCGGTGGTAAAAATTTTGAATACCACCACTGACCATAACCCTCCTAACCTTTCATAAGGGCCTAAAGACCTGGCTCTGCCAGTTAGCTTGGGGCCTCAGTGGGGGAGCAATCCCAGTAGAGATGGTTGATTGATTAACAATGAATCCCATCCCCACCCACCCTGCTCCTGCCCTCCCCAAACTGTAACTGGACCATATTGTTTACGGGTATTAATTATGTTTTTAATATATAAAAGGTAAAGGTTTCCCTGTCAGTCATGTCCAACCCTGGGGATGGTGCTCATCTCAGTTTCTGGGCTGAGGGACCCAGTCTTGTCTGAAAACGTTTTCCATGGTCATGTGGCCAGCATGGATATATGCCAAAGGTGCACAGAATGCTATTACCTTCCCACCAAAGCGGGATTACTCTGCTTGCATTTGCATGCTTTTCAACTGCTAGGTGAGCAGGGGTTATTGCAAGGAATGGGAGTATATGTATGTGTATGTGTGTATATATATATGTACATACATGTGTATGTATGTATATATGTGTGTATATATACACATACATAGCAATAGCACTTAGATTTATATACCGCTTCTTAGTGCTTTACAGCCCTCTCTAAGAGATTTAGAGAGTCAGCCTGTTGCCCCCAACAATCTGGGTCCTCATTTTACCCACCTCGGAAGGATGGAAGATTGAATCAACCTTGAGCCTGGTGAGATTTGAACTGCCAAATTGCAGTCAGCTGGCAGTCAGCAGAAGTAGCTTGCAGTACTGCACTCTAACCACTGTGCCACCACATCTCTTATGTATAATTTTTATGATTGAGAGTTGGTCAGAGTTACCTTGATGGTAACACGGGTGGCCAATAAAATAACATTAACTAAATAAATAATTTAAGCATTCATTTTATTCTCCCTGTAATAAAAGACAAATGTAAAAACAATTAGGTACATCAGAAGATTAAAAGATTTGCTGAGTTGTGAAGAAGTTGCTGGTCATTGGCTTTTCATTGCAGACCAGAGGTGATATTCAGCTGGTTCGCACCAGTTCAGGTGACATGGTAGCAAGAATTTGGTGTGGGTCGCAGAACTGGTAGTGACTTGTAGCTAGCCATGCCCCCGAACTGGTTCCCCGGTTGCCCAAATCTTCCACACCCCTCTCAGCCCCAGTAGAGGGGAGAAAACAAACAGAAAGCCAAAGGCTTTCTCCTTCCTTTTTGGGGCTCTTCCGCACCTCTCTCCCATAGCCACGCTGCCCCCCCCATGCTGCTGGCCCCCCACTACACCGCCGCCGTTGCTGTTGTGCCCCGAAAGGTTTATCCATGATCTGGGGCTGCTTCCCATAGCCGCGCCGTGCCCTCCCACCGCCGCCCCTACCCCCCTCAACCATGTGCTTTGAAAGGGATGTTCCGGGGCTGCTGCTCTCTTCGTTGTCCCGCCGCTCGCTGCTCTGGATTTCACCCAGTAAGTTCTTCCCAGAAAAGGTGTGTGTGTGTGAGATAGAGACAAGGAAGGAAAGGGGGGAAGGGCAAGAAGGAAAGAGCAAGAAAGGAAGAAAGAGGAAGGGAGAGAAAGAAAGAGAGAAAGAGAGAAAGCAATCAAGAAAGAAAGAAAGGGAGAGACCTATTGCAGAGGTCCCCAAACTCGGTAACTCTAAGATTTGTTGACTCCAACTTTAATAGCATAGCTGGCTGAGGAATTCTGGGAGTTGAAGTCCACAAGTCTTAAAGTTGCCAAGTTTGGGGACCCCTGATCTATTGCTATGGGAACTGTTTAGGCTGCTGCTGGTGTTTTCTTCCTGGTTTCCTGGTTCTCTTTTCCACGGAACGGCTGAATATAGGCCATAGCCCGGAATAGTGAGGTTGGAAGACATCTTGGTAGGGGGAGATCTTAAGAAAACACAGGAATGCAATGCCCTTGTAATGCATGACACCAGTCACTATATGAAAGTCCCAAAGCCAAAGTCAAAACAAAGATCTCTCCAGAAGGCATTGGGAGCTGAGGAACACTTTTCTGTGGTTTTTTCCTCAATGTTAAATCAAATGGTGATCCCCAGAGTGATATACAGCAGGTTCTGACCAGTTCTGGAGAACCAGTAGCGGAAATTTTGAGTAGTTTGGAGAACCGGCAAATCCCACCTCTGACTGGAGATTTTACAGTATCCTTCCTCTGCCATACCCACCAAGTCACGCCCACAGAACCAGTAATAAAAAAATGTGAACCCATTACTGGTGATCACCGCTGTAGCTACACTCCTGCTGGCATGGTTGTCATTTCTCTACAGTTTGTAACAACCAGCATTCATTTAGTTATTGGTTGTGAAATTCAGACAATTGTAGTAACTCTGACTTTCTTGCTGCTCGTAACTGGTGCCGTTTCGAGAGATGGTATTTTCTTACTTTCTTATTGTTGTAAATCTTCCTTTTCAAGTAGATCAAAAACACAACTACAGCTATTCCCATGATTGCACAGATTATTGCAATGATGTATGGCTGGTAAGCTGTGGAAGAAAAAGACAAAAGAGCTGAAAATCAAATGACTGCGAATTCCAGAGAGCTGCAAGTATATTAGGACTCCCCATGCACCCCCATCCCATTCCCTCAACACACAAACACACACCCTGTGTATTTTGGAAAGGGAGTGTTCTAGCTTTTATAGGGGAGACAAAAAATACTATATATACAAATTGCAACATGTACTGTAAATCAGTGGTTTTAACTCTCCTGAACTTTAAGATGTGTAGACTTCAACTCCCAGAATTCTCCAGTTAGGGGAATACTTCATCCCTAGTTTCAAAGTTTTGCTGAGTCTCAATCTGTCTTGCTTTCATTGTTTTGGTGTGTGCCTTCCAGTTGTTCTTGACTCTTGGCAACAGAGAAATCCCTGTAGATTTCATGGAAAGATTTTCAGAAGTGGCTTGCTATTGCCTTCTTGCTAGGGCAGAGAAAGACTGAATGGCCCAAAGTCACCCAGTTGACTTTGAGCTTTAAAGCAAGATTAGAACTCAGACTCTTGATTTTTATCCTGGTAGCTTAACCAAACACTGTTTCCTATTAGGCAAACTTAACTTGCAAAAAGCGAGTCCCTTGCTGAGATTCCTCACATTTTAAGAAATGTTCTAGGTTAAAAACTCTGAACTGGGTTGATACCTCTGAATTCTAAAAGATGTATTAGAAATGTTTTGGTGCATCTAAATACACACTCTCCAATTTAACTATCTACAAATGGCTGCATTCCTTAAATGTTAACTGTCTGTTCTCTTAATTCCTAATCCCGATGGGATGGATGCAGGGGATGAGACTCAAAAGTTAATATATTTGTTTAGCATTAGGCCAGAAAACAGTAGAATCAAAGATATAGAAATATTATTTGGGTGCGTGAAACTCATTTCATATCCACACATAAGGGACTCTCTTCACTATTCATAGTAGATGTTTTGTTATCCATTAAAATAACCTTATCAGTCTTTCTGGATAGCGTCATAGATGAAAGTGATACCAACAGTTGGGATGAGAATTCCTATCACTTTCTTTTATTGGGTTACATTTCTAACTTGCATGTGACAAGTAAACTTCAACATGGTCCTAGTTGAGTGATACAAGCCCTCAAATTATGGCTATTCTTGTTCTTTAGAGCAAGAGGTGAACTTACACTCAACGTGTATAGTCACATCTCTAACATCAAAGCCATATTGGTTGGTAGCATTGCAGTGATAAATGCCACCATGCTCTATCTGGATCAGCTGTGGTTCCCCGATGTTATAAAGTCTCCCATCTTTCCAGCACTGAACAGTCGGTGTGGGGTTTCCCAAGGCTGAGCAGGTAAGTGTTGTCGTACTTCCCTTCTTCCAAGTCCACGTCTGGGGACAGCTGGAATCATCCATTTTGGGAGCATCTAGAATGGAGAAGGAAATGTGGTTAATTTCACTGGTAATAATACTCAGTGCGACGTATCTTCTTTTGTTCTGCAAAGCTGCTGCACATTTGGTAAGCCTTTCAGAGTTCTAAATCTCTAGGAATAAAATACGTGTATTTTTCCCCCCAACTCACAGAAAACGGTGAGATTTTGAGATATGTTTCTTTCCTTGGCTTGCCCATCAATGATCAGGATGACTTGGCAGATGAATTCCCTCTTGTTATCCTCTTGCTGAGCGATCATTGCATACTGTAGGAAATGTTCATTTATGTTGCCGGATGCTAAGGTTTTGGCAGCGTCCACGATCTGCATTTTAAAACCAGGGGAAGCACTGCCATCGGCGCTACATGTAATGTTCACTGTTTGATTGACGACAGCTTCTGAACTGCCAATCTGCAAGATGAGCTTTGGTAAAGCTGTGAGGGAATAGAGCAGAGCAGTGATTATGCATCTAGATGGGCTAACTCCGGTGAGCTAACTTAATTATAAGAAATGGTCATCAAGTCCTTCTTTCGTGAATGAAGGTGAACATATGTGTCCCAAGATAATATTCCAGAATCTTAATCTGGATCTGTCACCAGGACAAGAGGTTTGGTCTTCTGAGCTTTTGGACTCGGGCCGGAGCATCCTCAGGGAACCTCTCTCTGGAATGTGCTTTTGGAGTGTGTGATCTCAGAAATTGTGTTCTACTGCTTCCAAAATATTTTTGATCTATGGCAGGGGTGCCGTGTACTTTGTTTCTTCCTTTCTCTCCCCACTGGGGTGCACAGACATCTTGTAACAAATGGGTACCCATATATCAAAAACATTTCAGAAGCAGTAGAACGCAGCTTCTGAGTTCTGCAAGTGGGCATCACACACTGCCCAGAGGCTATCATACAAAGACAAATTATCCATTGTAAAAATCACTTGGAGGTGGGAGATGCTTCCTATGTAATCTAGCAGATCCCCTGCATGGATTGCCTCTGTGACTATGTAAAACAGACGGGGAGGAAGCTAGCCACCAGATTGGAAGAACATGAGCAAGTGGTCTGACAAGGAAACCCAAGCTCATTGGTAGCCTCAGATTGCAATGAACAAGGACATACATTGAATTTTGCAGCTGCTAAGATGTTGGATGAGCAGATATATTAAAACAGCCAGGGGAGTTATTGAACCCTGGGAAACTGGGCCCCTCAACATTTAACAGGAATATTGATTTATCATCAGCTTATCAAGTACTTAGGAGGTGAGGGATTGGAAACAACAACCAAAGTAGTGGTGGGATTAATTTTTTTTCACTAGCGGTTCTGTAGACGGGGCTTGGTAGGCGTGGCATGGTTTGGTGAGTGTGGCTTGGTGGGCGTGGCAGGGGAAGGATACTGTAAGATCTCCATTCCTTCCTCACTCCAGGGGAGGGATATTGCAAAATCTCCATTTCCTCCCCACCCCACTAACCTGCTTTCCAGCTCCGTTCTCCTGTGCAGGGCAACAAAAGAAGACCCAGCCGATCAGCTGGGACTCGGGAGGCAGAGAATAGATGCGGGCAGAGCCAGTCAGAGGTGGTATTTGCCGGTTCTCTGAACTACTCAAAATTTCTGCTACCGGTTCTCCAGAACTGGTCAGAACCTGATGAACACCACCTCTGAACCAATGACTTAATAGCCAGCCATCAACACTCCAGTCAGCAGCTAAAAAAACCACACACAGCCAGGCACCATACCATGCATAGAATAGCCCAAAGCACACACTCTGCTAGAGAGAAGTTCCCTGAAGATGGTCTCAGAGCATGACTGAAAGCTTGGAAGACTAAACCTCTAATCCTGGTGACCAACCCAAATGGGATCCTTATTTTCTTTCTTTCAGTCAGTAAATATAGACAGTATGATTAAGATATTGGAGCAGAACAAGAGAGACACGTGATCAAAAGCACCCTAGCTATGGAACTTTACTCAATCCAACATACATCACAAGATTCTTCTTGTGAGCCAAAACTATAGCTTGGGTTCAGGACTATATTTTAGAGGAACATATGTATGAGTGGTTCACAAATATTGAGAAGAAGCAAACAAGGTTAGAAGGACAATTTTTTCCCACTTCTTCTTTTCTGTTATATATTTGGTTAAACCAGATTGATCCCTCTAAACTCTTTTTTATCTATCAACATGCAATACAATAATCTGATGCTTGGGTATAAAAACAGACCAGCAAATAATTGGTTATATTTACTTCATTTACTATTTTCACCCTATGAAAGCTTGTCACTAAAATCATTTTAAAACTTAAAAATCAGAAACCAGAATAGATGATAGCTAGGGTTTTGTTTTGTTTGGTTGACAAATACACAGAAAAATATTTTAAATATTGGCCCTGCTATATTACCATATTTATGTAAACGTAAACTGTAAAACCAAGGTTGAAGCTAGATCTTTGTGGAATGCAGAGACACTGTCGGCTGGCAATGTGAGAAAAAACATCTTCGAGTGAAGCTGTTTCTCAGTCATTTGCAATCAGCTTTCCCAAACCCCGGCATTCTATTCCATGCTTCATTCTTTCCATTGGCTTACATTAGATCCAAGCTCTATGTATTTAATTTGAATAGGAACATTGGTTTGGTTCACCCTTTCATAGTTGTTCTTCAGTCTCAATGAAAATACAACTGGGATAAATTCCTTGTTTCTTCAATTCAGTTCCTTTCAGTTCAGCCACTTAACTATCCAATTTTTTTAAACTGAAGTTTTGTTTTTCAAAATAAGTCACAACTTATAATAGGTGGGAAGGAACTCTTCTAAATCTCTCTGTGTTAGTATACAGATATGAGACTCACCAAACACATTCACCATCTTTGTCACGTTTTTGGTCACTGGCCCCAGAGAGACCGTGCAAATCAACTCATGATC